TCTCACAGAATTCACTGAATGTACCATGAAATCCATGATCATTAAATGAAAAGCAACTTGCCAAGATTTTCGGATAGCCACGCTAAATCTACATGCTACTCCTCAAGCTAATGGTTATACACACACGAGCAATTCTCATATTTCAGAAATAGACACACACAGCTCTCTCTCCCCTACCCTTCCACTACACGTGCATGATTTATTGTTGGAAAGGTGGGATAAATGTCATACAACAGCATAACCAATGAGTAAAAAGACTTTTATCTCAACTTGAATCTGGACAAAGTATGTTTTCATCCAAGAACATGAGTTTGTGGTAAATATAGGTCATGTGATGTTATAATGAGTAATGGTTAAGCCCTATGAAGATGTCAACAACATATGAGAACTTCATATTTAATATTGCTTGGAGGGCTTAAGTTTTAAAAAGTTGTGGAAAAAGGAATTTATTCCAAGTTCTGTGAACATACCTAGAATGGTTTCTTTAGAAGATATCTTTGAAAGTTCACTGTGATGTTTGAAGATTATTTTTAACACTGGATCGTATAAATTACAAGACTAGTGATAACATTTTGCTTTGTTGTTGGGACTGTGACCAGTGATGTATTTGTAACATTTGTTATTTTATTTAACTGAGTTGGAGGAAAACCCGTTAAGAATAGGAACTCAACTGATCTCTCATATTTCTGAAAAGACAACTCTCTACATCAGTTTAGGGAAACCTATTGGTTCTTCTTAAAAAGACTGGTTGAAGGGCTATCTCAAGTTCATATTTCCTGAGCAAGTTGTACCTGTAAGAGTTCAGAGACAACAACTATTGATTTGACAATAATATCATATAATTAGACTGTGTGTGTTCGTGTGTGCGCGTGTGTGCGTGTGTGTTAAGATATGTAGAGGGATAAGCACTTATGTTTCCCCATTGCTGACTGTCTATGTTAATCACTGCATCTTTATAAAATGAAGAAACTTAGTTGATGGATTTTGTCTGTTGTTTACAACCTGATAGAGATGAGCTATTTCATTGATCACATTGGAGAAGTATTTTTATTTTATGGTGTGACCCACGGACAGTGGGACTTCTCCAGCCTCCATAACAACAATATCATTGACCAACAGTCACACAAGATGGTGCCTTAGATTCTGAAACCAAGCAGACATCTACAGCTAATGATATCCATCCATCTGCGATGATAGACAGCACACTGCAGAGTGAAGCTACACATCCAAATCATGATGACTGTATAAGGACCAGATCTGGTTGTATTGTATGCATCCCGAGGCATTATCTAAATATTTTTTAGACAATATATCTGTATCTATATTATCGGAAGAAGGTTCCCATTCTTTCAAGGCGCAAGGGGAGAATCTTGTATTTTATCATAGATTTAGATCAAATAGGCTTGTACCTTTAAGATAGCTCATGACATCACGTGTAAAGGTACCTGCCTCATCCTCAGTCACTCTCTGTGTATATTGGAGTCAATACCATGTCCTCAGTCAGCCAACTATGTGTGTATGTAAATTACAATAACATCAGTAAGCACAGAACCCAGACATAGCAAATGTATAAATATTTACATGGTGGCTCAGTGGTTAGCACAGCTGCCTCACAGGGAGCCGGGTTCGATTCTACCCTCGGGCGACTGTCTATGTGGAGTTTGCACAATCTCCCCGTGTCTGCGTGGGTTTCCTCCATGTGCTCCGGTTTCCTCCCACAATCCAAAGATATGCAGGCTAGGTGGATTGGCCATGCTAAGTTGCCTGTAGTGTCTGGGGATGGGTCTGGGTGGGATGCTCTGAGAGTTGGTGTGGACTTGTCAGGCCAAAGGGTCCGTTTCCATACTGTAAGGATTCTATGATTTAGTGTTGTTAATAAACTTCAAGACATCTGTCTCAACAAGAACCTAGTTCTCTTTTATATCCTGAATAAGAAGTTCAAAAGATATAAATTTCCTGATTAATATTCCTTAAAGGAAATGTGCTTGCATTGAGACAAGCCTTGCATATACCTTGGTAATGTCCACACGATGCAAGGTGCTTCTGAAGACCCAGTGAGACAGCATAACAAATCACTCAATGCGTAGATAAAGTGTCTCAAGGTGCTTCGCAGTAATGTTATTTCACAAAAGCTGACATCAAGCCACATTACAAGCAATTAGAGTCGTTTTTAAGTAGCAGCTTGAGTGAAGTGGAGATGTGGAAATTTTTAGGGAAAAAGATTCCATAGCTTGAGGCCTGAGCAGCTTGAGGCACAATGGTTGCTGCAAGGATAAAGGAAACTGGTGTGCACCTAGACCACAGGAAGATAGAGCTTTTGGAGGGAGTGTAAACCTGACTGAGATTACAGATATAGGAAAAGAGGGACCAGCACGTGAAAGGATTTGACATTTTCCTAATCAACCTGTTCGGAGATGCTATTAAACAGCTCTGGAACAGGCTGGATTTGAACCCAGGCTATTGCTGTTCCACAATGGCATTAAGGATTTGACTATAACGATTAGAAATTCTAACTCGAAGGTTTGAATAACATAACAGTGCAATTCCCGCATGGTTGACCTGCACAAACTGTGCTAGGCAAGGTCAGGTCACATGAACTTCAAATAATTTTTGAGCAGTGCTGATTCAGTATTGCCTGAAGGAGATCAGACCCAAGGAGCTGTTACTCTTGTTCCTATGTTCTACCCTGTGTCTATACAGATGTTGTTATTTCTGAAGTGCAGCTCCGTGCTACAGCTTCCTTGCCCTCTGCTCTCAGTTCTTGCTCTGCCAATTTTTCTGCCAATTCCTGAGTTAACTTGCTGCAGTGTCAGGTCTTCCCCAGAAGCACCCCAGGCCAGATCTGTGAAAAGGCAGCTGTCTGCAGGGTCAGGGAGAATTCAGGAACAAAATCAGTCTGCTGCCTTTCCTCACAATTAAGATTGTCCATTTTGATGTTCCATTTTCACATTGTAAAGCTATCTAAAAGTGGAACGCATTTTGTGGTAATGTGAAAGCACTCAGGATTTTAAAATATTTCCATGCCCTGCGGGCTTTTAGCAGTGGGGTGACTATATTGAGTGTGTTAACTGTATATTCTAAACTAGATAAAGACTTTCTTTTCTGCTTAGCGTCTGTCGCTATGAATGTAAAGGGGGCATTTTTGAGGGTGTGTGGTTCCATATTTGGCTACTTTACTTTTATCAGTAATTGCTCTGTCTGTGAGTAGCAAGAATGGTTACATTTTGCCCCAGGTTGTTTTGTGAGTGTTGTGGGCTGGCCCAGCATTTATTGTTCATCTCTAATTGCCTTTAAGAAAATGGTTGTGAGCTGCCTTTCTGAAATGCTGCATCCCATGAGATTCAGTTCTTCCAGTAATGCTATCCAGGTGCAGTTTGATGCAACTGAGTGGCTTGCAAGGTAAGTGCCAACTGTTAATTACTGTCGGTCTGGAGTCACATGTAGGCCAGACCTGGTAAAGGCAGCAGATTTCCTGCCCTAAAGAATATTAGTAAACCAAATTTTTCCCAATCTAGTAGTTTCAAGATCATTAATGCATCATTGTTTTGTTCCATGTTTATTTTATTTCAACTCCCCCACCAGCTTTGGTAGGATTCAAACCCATGTCTCCAGAACCTTTATGTGGACCTAATGTTTACTAATAAAGTAGATTTACTGGTTTGCCACAATTCCCAACTTTGAACCCTGTCCTTGATCTATGTTAATCTGAGCCACAGTGACACTGAAGCTTTTGACACTTGGCCTTAAGCTGCTCCTTGTCTTGTACCTTGTCTTAATGAGATGACCAAAAATGAAATGGCTGTTTGCTCCTGATTGAGAACCAATTATTCTTAGTGAGAAAGGCAAGTAGGTGAGCTTCAAACTCACATTTGGCCTCAATGCCTCAGCTACCAGCTATGTCAATGTCCCTGACTAGGATAATGCACGTTGAATGATAGTTTAGGCTCTTTGTTGGAGTTTACATGAAACTGATGCACTCATGTCAACCCACAAAGCAAAAGAGCAGTGAGCAAAAGGAAGGAATATCGAAATTGCAGTGTGGAAACAGGCCTTTATGCCCAACCGGTCCATCCTGGCGTTTATGCTCCACGCAACCCTGTCCCCTTGCTCTGCTTCATCTAACCCTTTTAGCAGAACTTCCGATATCTTTGTCCCTTCTATATTTACCTATGTGATGATACTGTGGCTTTAAGAGGTTATTTTGACTTTTTTTGCTGAAGAGAGGTTTTAAAGCAGAGGTGAAGAGCAGTCTACTGGAATCACTAGAGAAAAGAGCTTGTGAGGCCTTAGAGTTTTTTAAAGGTGGAACAATAGAAGCAGCCTGAATGGGTGTGGTTGAACTCTTACGGGACCAGGATCTTTAGTTAGCTTTCTGCAGTTGCTGTTGAGGTCTTGTAGAAGTAAAAGCGATTTATTCCCTCTCGCAGTTACAACCAAAAGTGAGGGGTTCTCTGCCTGCTACAGGAGTTGCGTGTGAGAAAATCTGTGTTCTGAATTTGCATTTTGCCAAGGGTACATTCATAAATGTTACTGCGTTCAAAGAGTTCATTAGTAATTGTTATAGTTTGTACTATTTTGTTCAGTTTTCCAAGAGAGTTAGCTATTCCAATTCCTTCTTTCTTTTGTTGTATTTTAGCTATAGCGGATGAATGAAGTGTGTTTTGCTTTAAATGCAGCAGTTTGACCAAACGAATTGCATCTGGAAGGCAACATCTTACATTTAACTTCAAAATAAGAAAACATTAGGCTCTAGACTAGCTTCTAAATATTTTTAGGGTGTTTGGTCTGGTCCACAACATCTAACTAATCCTGAACTGCATCCATGGTGTTCCTCCTCTATATAGTCATGAGTTCCATATTCTAACATCCTAGGTATGTATTTCTGTAGTTCAGATCAGTTCAGAGGTGACATAGAATAGAGTCTGATAAAAACACCCTCAGGTTGCTCAAGGTTTGGTGCTGTCCTCAATTCTGTGCTAATTTTGCGACCAATCCTGTAGATTTCAGACCTTACGGCAGAGCTGGCAGACGAACGGTTTAAGGGGGATGTGACCTGTCGGATACTAGAGAGCGAGCGAGCCGAGAGACTGCAACTGTCCCAGGAACTGAAGGACATGCAGGTGAGAAACAATGCAATGCCACATTGTGTTATCTAAAAATATTGTCAATTTCCTTCATGGGGCTGAAATTATTTCTTTGAAAAGCTGAGGTAATTCCTTAACAAGTACTTCTCAGTTCCTCAAAATAAAACTGCAGCCTTTGAATGGTTTTTCTATTTTTTTAAATCTCCAGTAAATTTTCTTGAAATGACACAAACTCAGGAAAATAGACGATGTTGGGACATCTTGAGGCATCCTCTGGAATAATCCTCTTAGTAAACAAACCAGTAAAAAAAAAACGCTGGGAAAAATACTCCTGGCAGCATCTGTAGAGAGAGAAACACAGAGGTAATGTTTTAGGTTAACGTTGTGTAAGTAAAAGGTCATGATGAAAGGCCCTCGAAACCAGACCTGCTGTGCATTTCCAGCATTTTCTGTGTTTTTTTTATTTCGCATCTCCTTTTACTTTTCTTTTGCTTTTGTAGAACCATTGCCTATGATGAGAGGTTTGTGTGTGTAATATGTCTTCTCATTTTCACTTCTTTTTTTCCGTGCCTTCTTCCTCTTCCTCTCTTCTTGGCCATTTATAGCTAATTCTGAACACCGAGTGTTAGTGGGCTACATAATTGTTGGGCGCAGACTCCATCATTCAAACATAGAAATGGGAGCAGGAGTGGGCCATTCGACCCTTCAAGCCTGCTCTGCCATTTAATATGATCATGGCTGATCATCTGTCTCAATATCCTCTTCCTGCTTTTCCTCCATATCCTTTGACCTCTTTAGCCCCAAGTGCTATTCCAACTCCTTCTTGAAATCAAACAATGGCCTCGACCGCTTTCTGTGGAAGCAACTTCCACAGACTCACCATCCTCTGAGTGAAGAAATTTCACCTAACCTCAGCCCTAAATGGTTTGCCCCATATCCTTAGACTATGACCCTTTGTTCTGGACTCCCCCACCATCAGGAACATCCTTCCTGCATCTAACCCTGTGAGAATTTTACAGGTTTCTATGAGATCATCAACCACCCCCTCCCCCCTCATTCTTCTGAACTCCAGTGAATACAATCCTAATCGATTCAACGCCTCATCGTACATCAGCCCCGCCAGCCCAGGGATCAGTCTGGTCAACCTTCACTGTACTCCCTCCATAACCAGAACACCCGTCCTCAGATAAGGAGACCTCACGCCACAGGGAGGTGGACTTAACACAATGTATCGGGTCCTATTGGAGCCTGGAAACTGGTTGTGGCTGGTCTTTCTCCCTATTCTTGCTTGTGCATGTTGTTTATCCATTCCTGTCCAGAAGCAGTTTTGAATCATTAAGAGCCACCTGTCATATCATGAATAATTAATTCCTGCAGCGAGCCACGAACAGTTGTGTGCTTTGCCCCATCTTTTAATTACGGTCTCCGAACATTTCCAAGGCACTGTACAATTAACGTTTTGAGTAGTAATCCTGTCACCGTAACTTTTTCTAATAAACTGCAACATCTGCTATAATTCTTGATGGTTCTTTCACTGACAGAAATGAGACTTTTCAGTGTTTTTGGGATAGATCGCTCTTCAGTGAGGGGTCTGGGTGGAAGGTGTCATCGATAATGCTATCAAGCAGCACCTGCTCAGCAATAACCTGCTCGGTGATGCCCAGTTTGGGCTCTGCCAGGGCCACTCAGCCCCTGACCTTATTACAGCCTTGGTTCAAACATGGACAAAAGAACTGACTTCCAGAGGGGAGGTGAGAGTGACAGCACTTGACATCAAGGCCGCATTCGACCGAGTTTGGCATCAAGGAGCCCGAGAAAAACTGGAATTAATGGGTATCAGGGGGCAAAATCTTTGCTGGTTGGAGTCATACATGGCACACAGGAAGATGACCATGGTTGTTGGAGGTCAGTCATTACAGCTCCAGGACATCTCTATGGGAATTCCTCAGGGTAGTGTCCTAGGCCCAACCAGCTTCAGCTGCTTCATCAATGACCTTCCCTCCATCATAAGGTCAGAAGTGGGGATGTTCGCCGATGATTGCACAATGTTCAGTACCATTCATGACTCCTCAGATACTGAAGGAGTCCATGTTCAAATGCAACAAGATCTGGACAATATCCAGGCTTGGACTGGCAAATGGTAAGGAATATTCGCATCACACAAATGCCAGTCTATGACCATCTCCAATCTAATCATTGCTCTTTGATGTTTAATGGTGTTAGCATCACTGAATCCCCCTACTATCAACATCCTTGAGGTTAACATTGACCAGAAATTTGAACTGGAGTCACCACATAAACAAAGTGGCTGTAACAGCAGGTCAAAGGCTCAGAATACTACGGCAAGTAACTCCCCTCCTGACACACCAAAGCCTGCCCATCGTCTACAAGTCACAAGTGTGATTGAATGCTGCTCACTTGCCTGGATAAGTGCAGCTCCAACAACACTCAAGAAACTTGACAGTATCCAGGACAAAGCAACTACGTCCATTGGCACCACATCCACAAACATCCAAGTACCACTGGTGCTCAGTAACAGTAGTGTGCAGTATCCACAAAATGCACTGCAAAAATTCACCAAAGATCCTTAGACAGCACCTTCCAATGACCACTTCCAACAAGAAGGACAAAGGAAGCAGATACATGGGAACACTACCACCTGCAAGTTCCCCTCCAAGCCATTTATCATCTTGAATTGGAAATATATCACTGTTCTTTCACTGTCACTGGGTCAAAATCCTGGAATTTCCTTCCTAACGGTATTTGGGTCAACCTGCAGTGCATGCCTCAAATAGGATGCTTACCACCACCTTGTCAAGGACAATTAGGGACGGGCAATAAATGGTGGCTCAGCCAGTGATGCCCACATCCCACAAGTGAATAAAAAAATGGTGTGAACTTGGATGTGAGGTTCAGTGCATTTGACTCAATTTTCTGTTCATTAAAGTGAATGGATGGAATATTCCATAGGAGTTTCTGACCTTTTGACCCTAAATTCCTAGAACCTTCTGACATCTGATCTGTAAATTAGCACATCTGGTAATTTGTAAAATCTAATCCATAATGTACAATACTTCCTTGTAACATCCACCAGGATATCAGGGTCATTCCCACATTTCCCAATGTTGGGGCTCCCTGATTGTTCATACATTGATTAGCCAGGAAATTACACTTGGTTTGACTTCTTGTTCAAATGATTTCAAATTATTTAACCTCAGCTGGTGCAACAATAAATATGGTATAAATGCAAAATGTGTGATTTCTGGAAATCTGAAGCAAGCATAGAAATTGCTGGAGAAACTCAGCAAGTCTAGCAGCATCTGTGGACAGAGAAACAGAATGAATATTTTGATTCCGGATTAACTGCTTCAGAAGAGTCAGAAGAAGAGTCACATGAGACTTGAAATGTTAACTCTGATTCTCTCTGATAAATGCAGTATAATTTTCCTTCGTTATCTGAGCGAGAGTAAGCCAGATTGCCCATCCTAAGTCTGACACTTCCTGTTGCAAATGTGTGCATGAGCACAATGTCTGATATGGATATCATTTCCCCACGATCGCCCATCATAAAATATCTTGCCAACTCTTATTAACTAGTCCATCTTGTGAAGAATGAAGACAGGGCTTATTTCACACACACCAACAGATTCTAGAACAGCTTCTTCCTCGTTGTTATCAGACTTCTGAGTGGACCTCTCAAATATAAAATTTAAATGTTGATCTTGCTGTTTGTGTAGCCTCTCTGCAGCCATAACATTGTATTCCTTGCCCAGTTCTATTTCCCTAATGCACTTTGTATGGTATGATCTGCCTGTACTGTACCTAAGTGGATGTGACAATAATAAATCAAAGTAAATATATTGATATACAGAAGGGATTGGAAGAGGAAAACTATGGCTATTTTAAAAAAAAAGTCTTACTGTTTTTGGCTTCTCCAAAATTTGTATCTTATAATAGCTCACAGGAAAATACAGAAAGAATTGGCTCGGTGAGAAAGGCTATATTTTCCCCTCAAGGACTGTAGGTCACATCTATGCGAGATTACTGGATCCTACATGTTAAGCAGCCCCAATTCAGTTCCTATGTACATTGGCCTGAAGCACAAAACAGACACCAACTTCGCAATCTCACAGTGAAATGCGAACATTGATCACCAACGCACTGAAGGGTGATTTGTCCCAAGTGTGTTCTGATAACATGATAGATTTTGTAGCAAACTGTAATTTTAAAAATGGTCATGAGGAGTCTGACAAATTGGATCTCAAACCTCACCTGACTTCCCTTGTGGATTCAACACCAATCGAAAATCAGACTGTACTCTCCTGGATAAGAGTTACAAGAGACATTTTGAAATTCAAGACACAGTTTCAGAAGGGGGCAAAGATAAATGGCTTTGCTGGAGGTATGTAAAGGCCCTCCTATCTCACCAAAAACCTGAAAGAATGGGACTTATTCAAGATGGTGGCTGAGACAATTAAAAAGTTAGTTACTTTGACTCAAAGGAAGTGGATGGGATTATTCTCCAGATCTGGGCTCAACTCAATACCTAATATGGAAGCATGTTTGGGATATCATCTATACTTAGAGTTTTTAAACTCTACAGAAGTTGGCTGTGAACAGTGCATTATGTGCAAATATCTCAGGAGAGTCTGTGTAAACGGCTCCAGCCAGCACTTCCAGCAGAACTAGCTCCGAGCAAGCTTCAAAGAACTGGGTTTGCTCTCTGATATTGGGAGTTACAGAAGAAGGTGCTCAGAAACCCTCCCTGTTCTGCTGAGAACAAATCCAGGCTGACAGAGCCAATAAGGATAATAGATCCTTCACTTCCTCCCTGAAGCTGTCTTACCGACTGAGTACCAAGTGCAAAATATTCAACGGTGAGTAGCATGGTGGCTCAGCAGTTGGCACTGCTGCCTCACACTGCCAGGGACAAGGGTTCGATTTCAGCGTTGGGCAACTGTCTGTGTGGTGTTTGCATGTTCACCTGGGTATCCTCCAGGTGTTCCGGTTTCCTCCCATTGTCCAAAGATGTGCAGGTCAGGTGGATTGGCCATGCTAAATTGCCCATAATGTCTAGGGATATGCAGACTAGATGGATTAGCCATGGAGAACACAGGGTTAAAGAGATAGGGTATGGGGCTGGATCTAGGTGGGATGCTCTTTGGAGGGTTGGTATGGACCCAATGGGCTGAATGGCCTGCTTCTACGCTGTAGGGGTTCTATGAACCACAGAAGGCATCACCACTGCCAAATCCAATTTCAAATTTCAACCCCTTCACTTCAGAAAGAGAATCTTCAAGCAAGCTAAATCTGCAACAATATTCGAGGCATCTTCATACATAACTTTTATCCTGACTTAATTTTGATCTTTGCATCTATATTTTAGTGAATAACATAGCACTTTTTATTTCATTAACTTGCAGCAATTGTTGTGCCATAAACTAACCTTTCATTTTATTTACAATATAGAACTGCACCGTTTTTTTTTCTAATTTGGAGCAATTGTACTTAAAAGAGGACTTCACCATGAGCTTCTACAAATTCTCTGTTCATGGCCTACCCTGAGGAAAAGCCTGGGAGCTCGCGAAGACAGCTTCCTGAGATAGGCTGTGTCAGTTCTGAGGAAGAGTCATACTACACTCAGTTTCAAAACCCTCCACAGCCTTGTCCCTCCTCCAGTCCTACACTCTGGTTCTCTCTTCACAGATGCTGCCAGACCTGCTGAGTCTGTCCAGCATTGCTTGCATTTGTTTCGGATTTCCAGCATCTGCAGTGTTTAGCCTTTATTAGTACGTGTCAATGGGAATATTAAAAAATGCATTTACATCTTTACAGCGGGGCCCGGTGGATACCAGGAACAGGAAGGACATTGAGTCAATTCCGTTGGCACCATCCCTATTCCAGTTTCATTGTATCAGGTCTGCAGGTACCTGTGTCTTGATGTCACATCTGACATGGAGATGAATTTCCAACTACTAAACCCTGCCATCACCAAGATTTCCACATCCTTGAACTGCCTGGATCCACCCCTGCCCCATTGTGTGCCACTGAAATGGCCGCTGTTGCTTTTGGTACCTCCAGGCCCAGCTATTCCATTTACTCCTTCCTGGCCTCCAACGCTCTGCCCTTTGTAAATCTGTTCTGAATGAAAGTTCCATGTCCTAACACACACCCAAGTCCCGTTCACCCATCAGCTCTCTGCTCACAGGCTCACTGTTTAAGCAATACCTCACTTCTAAAATTCTTGTCGTTGGTTTCAAAACCCTCCACAGCCTTGACCCTCCTCCAGTCCTACAACTCTCCGAGATATGCTCCTCCAAGTCTGACTCCTGATGTTAATCACTGTGCCATTAAATTGAATTGAATTGAGTGAGCTTTATTGTCACATGTACTCAAAAGAGTACAGTGAAAAGTTTACAAGTCGCCACATTACGGCGCCATTCCAGGTACAAAGATACCCTGTTACAGACTCTTAAGAACAAATTCTTAGGAAAAAACATTAGAAAGGTAAAGAAATAAAAAGTCCAGCATTACAGATTGCAGGAATAAATTAGGAAAAATAAAGAAATAAAAAGTTCAGAATAACAGTCCTTCCAACACAGTCCATGCCAGCATCTAGCCTTCAGTAACTAACCGAGAGACATCCACTGTCTTGTAGCTGCCTGCGCTGGACCCACCAATGCAAGAGCCCAACATTGGTGGGCCTGCCTTCAAGTTGCCAAGTCCTAAAGTTCTGGTATCCCGGCCCAAAACCACTCTTCCCCTCCACCTCCCTTCCCTCCTTACGATGTTCTTTAAAACTTACCGATTTGCCCAAACCTTTGGTCATCTGCCCTCATATCTCCATATGTTTCTTGCTGTCAGACTTTATCTTGTGATAATCCTAAGAAGTGTCTCACAATGGTTTAGTATGTTAAACACAAGCTGTAGGTGAGCCTGAGGCTGTGGACTTGCTTGCCAAGCTGGGTGGGTTTGATTGCAAACATTTCGTCACCCTGCTGGGTAACATCATCAGTGCGCCTCCAGTGAAGCATTGGTGTTCTGTCCCGCTTGTTATTTATATGCTTCAGTTTGCTGGGGTGGTTGGCATTACTTCCGGTTCTGTTTCTCAGTGGTTTGTACACAGGGTCTAATTCAGTGTGTTTGTTGATGGAGTTCCGGTTGGAATACCAGGCCTTCAGGAATTCCCTGGCGTGTCTCTGTTTGGCTTGTGCTATTATCGATGTGTTGTCCCAGTCGAATTCATGTCCCTCATTGTCCATGCGTAGTGAGACAAGTGAGAATTGGTCGTGTCTCTTGGTGGTTGTTGGTGAGTCTATTTTATCCACCTGGTTTGACGATGAAGAGCCCTAAACCTCTCTCTAAAAATTGTTCCTAATCAGCCTGTTTAGAAATGTTGATAACCAGCTGCAGAGGAGGTGCGACTCGAATCAGCTTCTCGTGGTCTCCACGTGTCTAATGATGGTCAAAGCTTTAGAAATATGTTCCTAATCTCTCAGGAATCTGCAATAAATACCACCTAATGTGAAGAAATTATTTTGAGCTGATTTTCATCTCATTTCTAACCAAAGATATCTTTGTTTAGAAATGGTTGTTGCTTAGTCACCATTTTGTGTTCAGTTTTAAACCCATTTGTAATTGTTCAGGTTTTTGTCAGACATTCTCCTGTGAACTTATGGTATTGAAAGAATTTATTTTACTGGAATGGTTAGCCTCAATTTCTGTGACTTGGGCCAAACACTGTACTAGCTGGATAACATACGTTTTTTCTTTATAATTTTTTATGTGCATTTTGTTCTTCTGTTCATAGACTAAATATGAGAAGGTGGTGACGAATTTAAATGCTGTGGAGAAGCAGTTGGAGGAAGCGCGGCAGCAACTACAGATGAGGCAGCTGGGAAATGCAGCGACAGGTAAAACAGCATCATGAGATAAAGTAGTATAAAGAGACATGTGTATATATGTGATATCTTATCACCATGCGTAAACTTCACGTTTTGAAGCCCTTTATGTGGAATATGTGAACTTGTCTGCTTTGCCAAGGAGAATACAGAAGCAGTGTTTTAATGGAGAGAGATTGTAAAACTCTGAGGTGCAGAGAGATCTGAGTGTCCTGTTACATGAATCACAAAAGTTAGTGAGCAGGCACAGCAAGTGATTAGGAAGCCAAATGGAATATTGATGTTTATTTTAGGGCAAATATTATATAAAAGTCCTGATATTTTACTGCAGTTGAACAGAGCCTTGGCAAGAATTCAACTTGCAAGCTGTGTACAGTGTTGGTCACCTGGTTTGAAAATGGTTTTAACTGCGTTAGAAGCAGTTCAGAAAATGTTCACTCAACTCCTTCCGGGGAGGAAAGGCTTACATGTTGAACAGGTTGGGCCTTTATCCATTGGCGTTTAGAAGTATGAAAAGTGAGCTTATGTAACATAAGATCACGGCTGAAGTGGATAGGGTAGATATCAGAAAGATGTTTATTCCCATGGAGAACTGGGGGCACAATTTAAACAAAAGGAGACTCCCTTTTTAATACCAAGATGAGGTGTTATTTTCTCTCAGAGGGTGATTAGTATGTGGTATTCGTTTCTCCAAAAATCTTTGGAGGTTGTTCATTGAATTGTTGGAAAGGCTGAGTTAAAGTAGCTTCTTGATGGACAGGGGATCAAGATTCAGTGGGGGGTGCAGACTTGATGGCGGTGTTGGGACTGCAACCAGACCAGCCACGATCTATCGATTGGGGCAGGCTTGAAATCTCAAATGATCTTCTCAGGATCCTCAGACCTATGTTCCTTCCATGTAGATAATGTGTAAGTTTTCCTCTGCACCCTGCGTCTCATCATCAGCAACAAGGCGAAAGATCAGTCAGTATGTGGTTTCATTTGAGGGAAAGTGATTGCCAATCATGCCAATAGAATTTATTTGCCCACCCTTAGAAAGTGGTTCCATTGCTTGCAGGAGACAAAGGCTTCCATTTCACTTCCCATCTTAACAGTGTAGCACTCCCTCAATGCTGCAGTAACATGCCAGGCTTAATGATGAGATTGCTTACTGGTCTGGAGCCTAAATCGATCACTTCCTGTCCCCTCCAACTGTGCCATGCTCAGGGACACATTGGAAATCACCATTGGTTTGGTACAAAGTGTCTAATTTAAGCCTAAGTGGCAAGTTTTACCTCAAATTACCATTTCTGGTGAACTTCTAGAGCTATTTGAAGTTGCTGTGAAGTTGCTCACAGACAGAGGGGCAAGTTACAATGCTTTATAAAACAAAAGTACAATGGTGGCTTTTGAGTAAAGAGGACAGAAGAGGGAACTGTGGGAAATTTCAGGGAATGTTTGTAACCATCTGGAGATGATGGAGTTCAGAATTCTGAGAGAAGGATTCTGGAACAGGGCCATACCAGCTGAACTTTTTAAAATTCATTCATGGGATGTGGATATCATGTGCTAGGCCAGCACTTATTGCCCATCCCTAATTTCCTGAAGGCAATTATGAGTTAACCACATAGCTGTGGGTCTGAAATCACATGTAGGACAGACCAGGTAAGGATGGCAGTTTCCTTCCCTAAAGGATATTAGTGAACCAGATGGGTTTTTCCTGACAATTGGAAGCGGTTGCCGTTAGTTAATCTTGATTCCAGATTTTTTCATGAATTCAGGCTCCACCGTCTGGGTTAGTAGGAACTGCAGATGTTGGAGATTCTGAGATAACATGGTGT